GCTGTCTCCTGGTGACTGTCTGCACTGTTAATAAGCTAAACCAAGAACTAAAGCAAACAATCAATGCAGGCTCTCCAACATGCGGGGCCAGGCATCTTAACTACTAGCTCAAATGTCTGCCCCCAGGCCAAGACTTAAAATACACCAGGAGTCATTATGTAGCTAGAAAACCCAAACTCAGCATTTGTGTGGGTAGAGTGGTGATGGGCAAACTGTTAGTTCTCTGCCAGAAGGGCAGGATATACTAGTTCTCTTGACTGGGAAGTGTGAGGCAAGAAATGATACATCTTTTAACACTGCAGACCATGACATGTCATAGAAAGTAAGGTGTTACTAGCATTTCACACTAACTTCTAAAAGGTAGTAGGCTTCCTATGCGAGTCTTCCAAAACAAACATTCAGTAGGAACAGTGTGAAAGCTTACAGCATCCATGGCAATTCCAAGGCAAGATCTAATGAAAAATGTTGATGGTTGTTACCTGTGGAGTGCTATATGTAAAATATTTCAAGTGGAAATTAATCATGGAAAATGCTGATGAGAAAACAGGAAGTCATCCAAAAAGGGGGTGATACACAAACATAGGTCTGTTATCAACAAACACTGTATCACGGAACAAATTGCACTTCTCCACATATCCACTCAACTGAAATCCAAGGAGCACTCACATGGAAGACTTGACTATGTTATACTGAAAGGAAAATCCAAGTTGTTGAGAACAATCCCCGTCACCCAGTTTCTTCTTTGATCACTTCCTCGATCAGTAACAATGGGCATATATTACGAGTGAGTTACTTGGTACTTCAGTCTCCTTGGGAAAGGTAAAGGACAACACGACCTCTCTCAGGTTATAAAGATTAAATTAAAGCATATAAACTGCTTGAAGCAACAGCAGCAACATCATAATCAGCTATTAAGGGGCGATAGAGACTTGCAAATGGTATCATGGCTTAGAAAGCAAAGCAGAAAAGAACTTGTGAACCACTGCATTGATCATCTTCAATACTGCAGGTATTCTATTTTACAGAACAGAAAAACTGTTATTAGCATGTTTTGATACTTCCTTAAAGCCCAGCAAAAAAGGAATAAATTCTAACACAAGACCTTACCTATCAAAGTTTCAAGCAGGAAACTCAATCGGGAAATATGGATTTTGGTTTCTACCTGACAGTTGGCAGCAATCCTACAACCAATCATCTCCTATTCACTACAACACAGTTTTCTATTTGATAAAATGTTTACAATGTAGGTAGGTTTTTTCTGTCTGCTTCACAGGTTGCTGTGAAATTCAGAAAGAAGTTTTTAAACTGTAAAATTTCATAATTCCTTCAGATGGCTAACTAGTCTCACTTCCTACCTGCAACATACTTCATCATCTCAGTGCTAAATACCAATTTTCTGGTACCCAACTGTTAGAAAATCCAAACTGCAGAAATCCATTAAAACCCCCACTCAATTCCTGTAAGATTTCAAATTGTAGCTCACCAACTTACACTAAGTCACAAAAAATAGTCATCACTCTGGGTTCTGACCTGACACTGTCAAGTTCTGTGCTACTGAAAGTAATATCAAGAAAATATACATCAAAATATTTATTTATTACACATCAACAAAGTTGCCTGTGCTTCACTACACAAAAATACTACTTCTGTCAAACAGGCAAGAAAGTTTAATGAGGAAGAAACATGCTTGTATTCAAAATCACCTTGAGGCATAACTTGTCTACACTGCATTAGTTACATAAGTTTATATGCAAAATATCCAACAGTATGGATAATTCTACTTCACAATAAGCAACAAATTTGACTCTGAAAATATCACCAATAAAAACAGTACATGAGCTTCACACTATTGTATCAGAATTCTTTGCATATCAAATTAAATTTCGCACTCACAAATGTAGACCATCACAACAGCAATCGCTTTGTGGAACTTAACTGAACTACATAAATCTGTCACACAGTGCCTGAGAACATCCACACATTACTCTGATATAATAACCGGAGCCCACTTTCCTGACTTACAGAAAACACTGTTCTTGAACTGTCATCAAACCACACCGGGCTTTAAGAACTAATAATACTCCATCAACCATTAATAATATTATTAATGGCTCAGGAACTGAGCAAATTACAGCAATTTATAGTGATTAATATTTTAAAAACATAGGTTTTGAAGGGTCACCTTAAAATGTCAGTAAATGTTGTGTAAGCTATCAAAATACAGATGAGATTAAGGTTAAATGTGATGTAAAAGAAGTATTTTATAAAATATTGTGAAACAGGACTAGCATTTAATTGATGCAGTTTAAGAAAAGCATTGAATTAAGAAACATATTAATTCTTGCTCCCGCTCATTCAATCCGAGATTTAACATTAAAAAGAAAAATAAAAATTCATATTATGAAATTCTGCTGTCTTAAAGTTCTGAAAAATCATTAATATAAAATTTTTTAAAAAGAGGCAAAAGATCAAGACTTGTGAACCAAATAAAATTTATTTTGTGTGTGTACTTAAAAAAAAATAATATAAGTAGGTAATGAAATAAACATTTTTTTTAAGTATTCCACCCTGGGATCTCCACTCTAGAGTTAAGTCAACAGTCTGTTCAGGTTACTTCGACACTTCTGAGGGTTACGAAGTCTCCATCTTAAAACCATGTTTCTCCAGCTCAGCTCTGCAAGAAAACACAAAGAACGGTATCACTAGGCATCCCTGACAAATCCTTAATAAACTCAGCAAATTAGCAAGCACCATTTTAAAGCGATTTTATTTTAGTCCCTAAAAATTAACTTACAAAGGAATCTGGATGTGAGTTAATATAAAACAAATAAAATTTTGCCGTTAACTAGTATTAGCTAACCAATATATTCTCCTTAATTTTCTGATAAATTTTATCAAACAAACGTGAGGAATTTATTGCTACTCCCAAATCCTACATACACTTTCTGTTCATCAATTTGAGAATCATTAACTTTATGGCTAATTTCACACTGAAATGAAACTTGTAGGGATTTTATAATCATCAGATGTAGCACAAGCACTAAAGCTAAAGATGGAGAAAACAGATTCTGCTCCATTTGAACAAATATCTCTTGTTGTAAGCCAGAAAAAAGTATTAATTAAATCTAAGGATAAGTGAGTTTTCCATATTAATTACTTGTAGCCAAAAATCAAGGTAATGTTATAAATATTAAACAAAACTTTAGTACCCTGATCTTGAACACGGATGAAAATCTCAAAAGCTTACAATGGCATAAATACACAAAAAAGACTTATAATGCAGTCCTATACTCAACTTCAGCCTAAGCACTAATCCCAAATGCAAACAGCATTATCTACCCCAATTCAGATTTTTACTAACATTCATGGCAAAATTACTGGAGGGGTATTCTGTAATACATCACTGTATAAAAGCATAATTAATAAACTCTGCCTTCAGTAAGATTAAAAAAGCTGTATCTCAAGCATAATTTGGCTCAGACACCATCGTACCACCAATGGAAACGTAAAAATACACAGGAATGATCTGTAATATATTACTTATTTCCCCAATTCTATTTTCCTAAAAGTTTTAATTATTTATAATACTAACCTAATTTCCATGAATAACATAAAGGCCAGAGATTATTCAAATGCCTCGTCTTCTGCTCAGGGCGGAGCATGGGATGCGATGCTGGAGTTTTCAGAGCCCCAGGTCGAGCCGACACCCCAGGACCTTCCTCTGCTAATCAACAGCTCTCTGGATCCCTGCCCTGCTTCACTGGAAACTCAAGACTACAGTATCCTTCAACACTGCTCATCTCCTTTTTTTCTGAGGGTTAAAATGAGAGTTACACGATGATGCTGAGGGCAAGCGCTTCTAGTTTCCATGATTACAGAAAATGCCTCAAATATTTCCTTAAATACTTAAATTGGGGAATGTGATAAATGCTTTGAATTTTATCTTCTGCTAAAATGCTGTAACTTCTCTATTTACAATGGAAATGATTTTTAAGCATTCCTACACATTAGTTTTCCACTTCCTTTAACCCATCACTATTGATGAGGTTCACATTCTTTTATTTAACAACAAAACCAAAGTTCAACTTCAGATTTATAATAACAATAACAATCAGATTTGTTCAAGTTTGTGTGTATTTATTATTTTGGTAATAGTCATTAATTTTGCTTATATCTAGATCATCCACAAACACATGGGGATGATGAAATGTTTCCAATCAGCTAAGTTCTCAAGACAAAGTTCTTTGCTAGAACTTATAAGAAACCAAAAGAAAAAGAAACTGTACAAAAAACAAAAACACAAATGTGATGTGGATACTGAACACAAAAAATATCCAACAACAAAAAAAAACAGTGTAACTGAAAAGATGCAGATAACTGTAAAATAAGCTAATTGCATTGAAAAAGAAACACAAAAAGTATTCAGCCTGCTATATGAAAAGTTATTTATTCAACACACACTTATGTTCTAAAGCATTTTGCACACACTAATTCATCTCATTCTTATAACAACCGGTGAGTAAAGCACTAATTTTTATTTACATTTTACAGGTGAGGAAGGTGAGTCAGAGACAGGCCAAGTGGCTCTGAACAACATTCAGGCCAAGTGGCTCGTCCATGCTCCCCACAGCTGAACACGAGGCTGACTCTGGGGTTAGGACACGGGCAGTTGTGCTGACCCTGGCCTGAGGCCGCCTCTCCAAAACCACATGGTGTCAGGATCCAACAGGGAACAGTCAGACGACAGAAAAATACATTCTTTACCATGCATATATTGACACGTGTGAGCCACCCTATTCTATGAAGGTAAGGAAGAATATCTCTGTAGGAGACTTGTTAATCAAGACTTTTCTGGACGTGGGCCATCATCCTGTTACTGCCAACTCATCTGCAGGGACTGCAATCACCCACCACACAGGATACTGGAGTTGTGGGTGTTACACCACACGCTGGCCCAAAGACGAAGTTTTTTAAAACAAGTACTGTCTGTGGCTGTGTTATTCAATACAGGAGATTAATGTGGTTATTTAAATTAAATACAGCATTCAGGTCCTCAGTTGTACCAGGCACACATTATTTGCTCCAAGTCCTACATGACTGATGGCTTTTCTACTGGATAACACAGTTTCCAGAACATTGACATCACTTAATTCAATGACAGTCTTGGTCATGGATCAGCAATCTCAGTCGGAAGAAACTCATGATTCCCAGGGGATAAACACCACAGGCAAGATAACAGCCCTCCAAAGCATACTTAAAAAAAAAAAAAAAAAAAAACAGGAAGCCACAAGGAACACGTGGAGAAGGCTCTGCTTCTAAATCATTTCAAAGGCAAAAAGATGCAGAATGACAAGAAATTCAATTATCAATCTATTTATACTAAGATGTCCCTTGGGGGAAAAAAAGCATAACATTAATGTCTGGAAAACGTGGGAGAAAAGTGTAATTTTATGGCTAACAGAAGTTGCCAACAGAAACAGAAACCGGAGGAATCACAATTCCAGACTTCATGACACACGACGGGACACTGGTCATCCCAACAGTCTGGCACTGGAACAGAAACAGAGAAGATCAACGGAACAGGAGAGAAACACCAGAAGGGAGCGCACATTTGCACAGCTAGTTAATCTTAACAAAAGAACTGAAAATAATCCAAGGAAAAAGGCTGGTCTCTACAATAAATGGTGGTTGGACAACTGCCTAGCAGCCTACAAAAGAAAGAAGCCAAGACCCCCACTATCACTTTATACAAAAATCAACTCTAAGTGGATCAAGAACCTAAATCTGCACCCAGAAACCATCCAACTATCAGAGGAAAACCTTGGAAACACTCTTTAAGATACAGGAATGAAGACAGACTTCTTGGAAAAGACATCAAAAGCACAGGCAGTAAAAACCAAAATAAACACATGGGACTACATCAAACTAAAAACCTTCTGTACAGCAAAGGAGATGATCAACAAAGTAGAAGATGATCAAAGACGAAGCAAACACCAGAATGGGAGAAAATCTTTACACGCTACACAACCAACAGGAGACTAATATCCAGGACTTACTCAACAACTGCAAAACAAACAACCCTGTGAAGAAATGGGCAAAGGAAATGAACAGACCCTTTTCAAAAGAACAAATTCAAATGGCTAATACACATATGAAAAAAAATGCTCAAGGGTCCCTATTGGGAAGATACAAATGAAAAGCACATAGAGGCTTCACCTAACTTGAGTGAGATTGGCCTGCACTCAGAACTCCACTAACAACACCTGTTGGCGTGGCTGCAGGAAGATACCCCTTTCTTCACTGTTGGTGGGAATGTAGGTTAGTACAACCATGACGGGAGTCAGTATGGAGAGCGCAAATAGCACTGAAAACTGAGCTGCTGTGGGACCCAGTTATCCCACTGAAGGAAATATATCCAAAGAAAATGAAATCTGCATATGAGAAAGGGGTCTGTAATCCTACATTTATAGCAGCACAATCTACAGTAGCAAAGAATGGAAACAATCCAGACACCCATCAAACTGGTACATCTACTCCAAGGAATACTACTCAGCTATTAAAAAGAATGAAATTCTATCATTTGCACGAAGTGGCCCCAATTAGAGACCATTATGCTCAGTAAAACAAGTCAATTCCAAAAGGACAGATATCCTATGCTTTCTGATATAAGGCAACATTCATGCAAAATATAAGCCTTTTCAATACCATTTTTGCTACATCTCATGAGTTTTGGATATTTTTGTTTTTATTCTAATTTCTTCAAAAAAAAATTTTTAATTGATTTCTTCACTGACTTAAAAGTCACACAAAAGCATCATTTGCTTCCAGAAGTTTTCTGATTTTCTTTTTCAGTGACAATACTGGTCATTCAGTAGCATGTTATTTAACTTCATATGTTGTTGTAAATTTCTTACTTTCTTCTTATTGTTGATTTTGTTGTATGGCTTTTCATTTAAGGGGATGTATACTAACTGTGTAATAGGGACTACCATATATAGATGTGAAGATACGATGCAGTGAGCACCTCTACTTCCAAATCAAAGATGGACTACCAATGAAACTGTTAAATCTATCTCGACAATAGGATGCTGGACTCTGCCACTGTTCATACCTACTACTTCAGGATAAACTTAAAGAGCAGAATGATGGACTGAGGACTGTTCACGAAGGACTATACTACTGCAATAATACGGGAGGAGCCAGTGAGCTGGAAGGGAAATCCCAGAGCCTATGGAACTGCATCATGAAATTAAAAGGGGGGAAATAAGATGGATCAATGTATTATCAGTCTTAGCAAAACTGCAGCCATCAGAATGTGTGCTTATTTTAAGATAATTCACTACAAATCAGATAGTATCTCCACACTAACAAAAAACACATTTTCCGAGCTCATTAAAAATTATCTCACCTCCATTTTTTTTAAAGATTTATTTATTTTTATTGGAAAGACCGATATAGAGAGAGGAGGAGAGACAGAGAGGAAGATCGTCCATCCAATGGTTCACTCCCCAAGCAAGTGCAACAGGTGGGCTGAGCCAATCCGAAGCCAGGAGCTCTTCCAGGTCTCCCACACAGGTGCAGGGTCCCATGACTTTGGGCCGTTCTCAACTGCTTTCCCAGGCCACAAGCAGGGATCTGGATGGGAAGCAGGGCTACGGGATTAGAACCGGCAACCATATGGGATCCCAGAACGTGCAAGGTGAGGACTTTAACTACTACACTATCGTGCTGGGCCCCCTCACCTCTGTTTTGAATAAGCACACTAGACTAGTAAATCAGGAGATCACACTAAATCAGTATTATGAACAGAGCCCAGCACAGAGATCAGTATACTTAAGTATCTTTGTTACTGAGACAAGTAAACTGAAACCAAATTAGGCAGGAAGGCAGGGCTGAGACACCTGCATGTCCATATGTAAAAGCTGGACCTTTTCTTCGAACCATATACAACTAACTCACAATGTACAAAGACATAAATGTAATAAACTATAAAAACTCTTAGAATAAAAGGATAAATTTTCATTACTTTCAAATTAGCTGATTTTTAAAAAAAGATCTATTTACTCATTTGAAAAGCAGAGTTAGAGGGAGAAGCAGATTTTCCATCCACTGGCTCACTCCCTAGTGGCCACAATGGCCAGCACTGAGCCAGGACATGAACCAGCCTCATATGAAACGCCAGTGTCACAGGTGGTAAGCTTTACTGGCAATGCCAATGCCAGCCCAGCAATGAATTCTTAAATAGCAAACTAATAAATGAAAACATAAAATGGAACTCATAGAAAACTGAGACCTTTGGTGAGGGCCTGGTGTCACAATGTTGACAGGTGAGGGCGCTCCCTGTGATGTGAGCACCCTGAGAGGACGCAGGAACATTCCAGCTGCTCTACTTCGGATCCAGTTGCCTTCTAACGGCCTGAGAAAAGCAGAAGATGGCTCCAGTGCTTGGGCCACTGCCACCCATGCGGAAGGCTCGGACAAACCCCCTGCTCCTGGCTCGGGCTTGGCACAGTGCTGGCCATTTTAGCCATGTGGCAAGCAAGCAGATGGATGACTTGTCTCTTCTGTTCTTTTAAAATAAATGAATATATCTTAAAATAAAATACAACACAACTTTCAGACAAAGAACATTATGAAGAAAATGCAAAAACCTAACAGGAGAAAATAGTTGGAAATCCTTTATCTGATAAGGATTTAGTATTCAGAATACACAAAGATGTCTCAGACCTCAACAAAAAGACAACCCAGTCAAAATGCGAAAAGCACTCAACTTGAGCAGATATTTCTCTAAACGAGATACACCAATGACTAACAAGTGCTTGACAACATTAGTCACTAGGAAAATGCAAATTAAAATCACAATGTACCACATTCCTTGCTTATGGAAGGTTACAATAAAAAAAAAGAAAGCTGCAAAGTTTTGAAGAGGATATGTAGACTAGAACTTTTATACACACAATTATTGCAATACCAACAAAATTACCAATTTCATTTCGAGGTATATAATACTGCCTCCAAATTGACAGAACTCAGACAAATACTCATCCATCCATCCTCACAGAAGAGCCTTTCACACCAGCTGAGAGGTACACACGCCCAAACATCCACCAGCTAGTAGACAAATATATCAATACACTGCAATATTACTTAACCCCCATAAAAAGGAATGAAATATTGATACATGCTACAATTTGCATGAACTTCAAAAACATGTTAAGAACCTTACTGACACCCAAGGACACAGGCTCAATGATTCCACTGTCATGCAACACCCAGTCAGAAAGCAGACAAGCACTGCTAGAAGACAGAAATGCGAAGTGACTGTCTAATGAGTATGGTATGATACCCGTTTTTGGAACGCTAAACATGCTGGATCTAAGTAAAAAGGCAGCTATACAACTCTATGTAACTTATGTAACTGTACTAAATGCCAATGAACTTTATAGTTCAAAATGTCTAATTTCACATAAAATGAATTTTACCTCAATAAGTACAATTTGGTAATTTATACATGAGTATGAAAAAATACTCCAACCCCTCAAATTCAACCCAGTTTAACAATCAACAACCTATTGAGTTTCAAGGGATTTTTGCTGAGCTATTCAAGTTTGGTAGAAAGTTAACACTGAACCTACAAAGATAAACAGAAAATACATTCCCATTTAGCTACTTTTGTAAAGAAATCAGGAATAAAATCCATACACAATTAACCAACTATTTATGTTTAAAAGCATGAAGTCCTACTTTTATACTTTTTCAGAGGTCAATTACCCATAGAAGCTACAATATTCTGTGTTTATAATGAATACCAAATTATACTGAAGAAAACAAAACAAGACAAAAAAACCCAAAGAAACAAACACCGCTGGCCTGACTTACCGCAGCTGATTGGAGAAGTCATCCTCCACATTGTCATCATCCCAGTTATCCTCCCAGACGTGCGCATCTTCATCTTCATCCAGACCAGCCCAGTCTAAAACACAGACAGACGCCGTCTAAGTGTTCCTCAGACAGTATTTCCACAAGCAGAAACAGTTCAGAAAGTTTTCTGAAGAACCCAGTACAATTATAAAAGCCAATAGCACATCTGCAAGGTTTCAAAGTGAGAAAGCAGCAGCGCGTGTTCGTGCCTTCGGGTGCCTGCACCCACGGGGAAACCCGGAAGCTCCTGGCTTAGGACTGGCCCAGCTCTGGCTGCTGTGGCATTTAGGGAGTGAATCAACGTTATGGAGGAGCGCTCTTTATCTTTTTCTCTGTAACTTAGCTTTTCAAATAAACATTAAAAACATCAAAAAAAAGTTTTCTGTTAAACTGCATTGCAACAATGTTTGGCTTTGTTTCATTATGTGTGTATAAAATAACTAAAACTGAAGAGTGTCTAAAATTTACTGACTTTTAGAAATTGATCCTTAAATAAAACTCTAAGGGGTCTGGCTCAATGGCCAAAAGGCTAAATACTTGTCTTGCGTGCCACGATCCCATTTGGGCACCGGCGGTTTATGTCCTGGCTACTGTGCTTCTCACACAGCTTCCCACTTGTGGCCTGGGAAAGCAGCAGAGGGTGGCCCAAGGCCTTGAGACCCTGCACCTGTGTGGGAGACTCACAAGAAGCTCCTGGCTTCAGATCAGCTTAACTCGGGCCATTGCAGCCACTCGGGTGTGAACCAGCAGAAGGAAGGTCTTTCTCTGTCTCCCCTTCTCTCTGTAAATTTGCCTTTCCAACAAAAATAAATAAATCTTAAAAAAAAAAAATACACTGCATGGTAGGACTTCAAAAAGGTTCACAGAAGGTCTGGGCACATGCCATCCTAGAGTGCCTGCAATCAGCTTCCACCTGGCTCCCACCAGCTACCTGCTGATGTAACCTTGAGAGCAGACAATGGCTCAAGAGCTACCCATGGGCTTCCAACTTCAGCCTGGACCTGCCGTGGCTATTATGGCTGTTTGTAGAGTAAAGCAACATATACAAGACCTTCCTCTATCTTTCTGTTACTTTGCCTTTCAAATAAATAAACTCTTTAAAAAGTTCATGGGGCCTGGCGCGGTGGCGCAAGTGGTTAAAGGTCCTCGCCTTGCACGCCCGGGATCCCATATGGGCGCCGGTTCTAATCCCGGCAGCCCCGCTTCCCTTCCAGCTCCCTGCCTGTGGCCTGGGAAAGCAGTCGAGGACGGCCCAAAGCTTTGGGAACCTGCACCCGCGTGGGAGACCCGGAAGAGGCTCCTGGCTTCGGATAGGCATAGTATCGGCCCGTTGCGCTCACTTGGGGAGTGAATCATCGGACGGAAGATCTTCCTCTCTGTCTCTCCTCTCTGTATATCCGCCTTTCCAATAAAAAAAATAATAAAAAATAAATCTTTAAAAAAAAAAAAGTTCATGAAAACCTAGGCCTGAATTTCAAGATGTTTTGCACCAAAATAAGCTTACTCTGTTATTTGGTTTTTTTTCTGTGAACTTTCTGAAATACCCTGAAATACCCACATACTAAGTGTACACAATACAGTTTGGTATATAATCAATTAATAAACAGTCTACTGCTTTAGAAGGCAACTTCAAAAATTGTTTACTAACTGACTATATACTAAATTACATACAAAACTTAACTGATCTAGTATAATACCTAAAATATGTTAAACACTTACAAACCCTCTATTCTACACCACACAGATAAAAACCATACTAGGTGAACGCTTAGCATAAAAAAAAGCTGCTACTGTTGCCCTCTCTGGGTTTAGCTGTTGGCTCTCCTAACCAACCTCTGCATTGTTTCCATTATAATATGTCAATAACAATGAAATGCTATTTAATCATCCAAAAAACAAAGGAACAGGCAGCTTCCACTTACTATTTCATTCCAAATGTCCACCAACATCCAGGGTCTAAGCTGGGAACTCAAAGAATCCCAACTACCTGAATCACCTGTGCCTCCCTTTGCACTGCACAAGTCAGAACCAGGAGCCCGAACTGGGACGACTCAGACTCCAACCTGGGATAGGGTGTCCTAAATCAATGTCTTATCCACAGGCCAAATATTGATTCCTAATCATTCATTTTTAAAGCAGTATATTTTTTTTAAAAAAGAAGAATAAAACCAAGCAAGGATGCATGATTCATGTCTAATACCATCTTTCAATACATAGATGTCCTTATAAAATACACACTTTCACTTCAACACTAAGCTCATTGCCAGAATTGTGATTAAGCATTTAAATAACTACAGCTGTGTTTATTTCGGTCTAGAGGCCTCCAGATGTGTGATGGTTAAAAAAAAAGTACCATATTAAAAAAGAAAGAATTAAGAATAACCAATAGCAGATGCCTAATGCACACATACATAAGTTTCTCAGATTTGGCTTTCTTAACATTTTGGCACCTGAGAACTACATCTGTGACTAGCTTTAAATTTCAAGAATCTGAGCTATCAAAGACCCCACATACTTCAAAACTCTCTAAATATCACCTTGACATTTAACTGTGAAGTTTTCTCTCAACTTGGAAAATGTCTAATATTTATTCTCTCCATTTCCAAATTTATTAAAGACATGAAATATAACATTTTGGAGAAAAGAGGAAATTCCACTTATTTACTAAATAAGGTTATAAATGTTCTACTCTGTATCAATTTTCAGGAGCATCAAATTCTCCTTTCCCCACAGTTAAGCCACTCTGAATCAAAAGATTCCCAAATTTCCTCCCCCAAAAAAATCACACTAGTACGCAGAACATTACATGAATGTACACTGCCCATCACAGGTGACCCTGAACACAGCAGCAGTCGGCAAGCAGCCTCATTACACCTCTCATGATGAGCGAAGCCACCAAATCTATTCATTCTGATACACGAATGCTACATTAAAACATCTTTGAAAATGCAACTTCTTATGTTATTCTGATGCAACTCCCCTCTGCTCGGGATTTGCTCAGTAGCTAAGAAATCAGTACTAGTACTGCACCACCGTACTACTTCTCTAACAAGGACAAGGACCAAAAGTGTTGATGGAGAACTTAAGAACAAAGAACCAGGGCCTGCTGTGGTAGCCTAGAGGCTGAAGTTCTGGCCTTGCATACACCAGGATCCCAGGCCCCACTTCCTGTCCAGCTCCCTGCTTGGGCCTGGGAAAGCAGTCCAGGACAGCCCAAAGCTCCAGGCTCCTAGCTTCAGATCAGCTTAGCTCTGGCCACTGTGGCCACCTGCGGAGTGAATCAGCTGACAGAAGATCTTCCTCTCTCTCTTCCTGTCTGCATACCTGACTTTCCAATAAAAATAAATCTTAAAAAAAAAAAAAGGACAAAGAACCAGAGCTAAGTCATAAAGTGATGTCACTTCCAGATCCTTGCTTATTTAACTGAGAAGTCTGAAACAAATTTAAGTTTAGGTAACTATTAATACTTAAGACTACTAATCCAATTCAATGCATCAATAATAGTGTGTGTGTGTGTGTGTGTGTGTGTAGCAGTCTTCTACTGTTTATTCACCTGGTTCATTAACAGCATTATTGTTCTTTAATTCCATGAAATTCCCAAAACCCTACCCCTTTCTAGTCCTCATGGCATAAGCTCAACTCTCTCATCCTTTGGCACAATGCTGAATCAAGTGCAATCAAAAACATCCTAGCACCCCTATTCTTATTCATGTAAAGGCAAAATCACAACACTTGATTTTTTTTCACATTCCAACATCCTGTGCCTAACTAGTTGCCAACAATCTATCGATTCTACTTCTGTGATGAATTCTTACATCATTCTTTTCAGGCGTAGTATTTTATTTCAGTCTTTCAGAATGCACCTGAATTAGTTCAACAGTTTCTTAATAAGCCTTTATGACTTTGGCCTCTATTTTTTCAAATTCTGCTGGCCTAGTGTCTTCCAGACAATGCTCCTTCTAAAGGAAACACACATGCATTGTCTTCAACAAGGAAATAAAAAACCCCACTTCTCACCTACTTAAGGCAGAAATCACACCTGGTCATTTCACTGAAGCTTTCAGAAATCAGCCCCCAACTATCTGCATCTGCAAGCAATTATTTCACAAACAAAATACTTGTAAACACACACATTTATTTTCAACCTCAAAGAAACCCCTCCTACACTTCCCTTTTGAAATCTCTGGCTGCTGAGGTCATTTAGGGAGTGAACCAGCTGATTACTGTCTCTGCTTCTCTCTGTTAATCTGCCTTTCCAATTACAATAAGTATATCTTTAAGAAAAACCCAGCCAACATTATCAGTAATCTAACAAACACTATGACTATGGAACACCTACCCAGATGCAAAACCTGAATCTAATCGTACGGAAACGGAGACAAGCCCAAACTCAAGAGTCATCTACCTAGTAACTGGCCTCAAGTCTCCACTGGGGCAAAAGTCATGAAATCAGACAAACTGTGCAATTGCTCTAGACTGAGACTAAGGCAACATGACAACTAAATGGAAACCACGATTTTTTTTTCAAAGATTTTTTTTTCATTGAAAAGGCAGAGAAACAGCACAAAGAGAAAGATCTTCCATCCATTGATTCATTCCCCAAATGGCTGCAATGCCCAGAACCTATCTGAAGCCAGGAGTTTTTTTCAGATCTCCTAATAGGAGCAGGCTCCTAAGGACTTGGGCCGTCTGCTGCTGCTTTTCCTGGGGCACAAGTCAGCCAGCCAGAAGCAGAGCGTCCAGAACAGAACCCAGTGCCGTTGTGGGATGCCAACACTTGCAGGCAGAAGATCAGCCCGTTGAGCCACCACTTTACTCTTGGTAACCAATATTCTTAAACAAAACACTATCAGGACCAATGGGAAAAGTGGAAAGGAATGAGCTTAGATGACAGTAGCGTACTATAGTACATTAATGTCTTGATTTGATTACTGTATACTATGTCTTTGTAGGAAATACATATTGAAATAATCCGGATAATGGTCATCAAGTTGGCAACTTATTGTCAAAAAAAAACCTCTATACTATATTTTCAAATATTCTGCAACTTGG